GACCATCTACAAAAGAAAGAAAATATCCTTCATTACCGAAATTTTTTATAACAATTATAGCATATTCATTTACAAATGAAATAATCTTATACAGCCCTAATTTTATAAAGAAAGACTGCAGAAGTTTTTCCGGTTAATTATAAACTTTTTCCCATTATTTACTTTCTTTTGAAAAAGAAACAGTCCTGTATATATGCCTTAAGTTTAAATCAGTCTTGATAGGCTGGCATATTTTTTCTCGAAAATAAGGCAATAATGAAATTGCTATGATACCAGTTTTTTTCAGAAAGAATTTGTTTTAAAAAATAGCATAGGTGATAACTAAGTTTTTAAAAGTTTCTCTGATAACATAATAGTAAAAAAATTTTATTGAAAATTGGGACAATTCTCAATTATAACATATTTCCTCTTTTTCATTGTTTTTTTTAAAATCTAGTTGCAAAATAAATTTTGCACAAATAGGCAGAGCGTTATAATGGCAACAACACGTAATTTTTTCTCATTTTTCTCTTCGTTCATTTTGGCAGGTTAACTTGTGCTCAACATCACAAGATAGATAAACATACATAAGCTGCCAAAAGTTGCCTTTCATAATAATTAATGAACAAAATTTTACTGATATCATTTACACTTGCTAGGAGGTCCTGGCATGTCGCACAATTTAATTTTGTTCAAAACAATGTGTGAAACTAATTTTATTGAATGTATTGTTCTGGTAAAAGATAATGCATACAAAATAAAATAAGTTTACATACACAAATGGGTGAAGGCTGAAGCCCATTAGCATTTCAAACATATAGAGTTTTTAAGAATGAAAAGGTGTTGCTGTCAGTTGCATTGTTAGTATTCTAGTTAGCTATTGAAAAGGCTTTGAACTTCAGAGAACATAGAATACGATTCATTTTTATTTAATTCATTGAAATACAGGCTATAAAATTGACTAGAGCATATAATTTCACACTAAAGCTAAAACATTTAAGAGCATAAAATAAAATATTGTGTCAGATACTTACAATGTATTTTCAAGTTTTGCACAGCAACTCATTGGAGAAAACTTTTGACTGCCACATGGACATTTTAAAAAGAAAATTATTTTTTTATTACTCCCTCTCTCATGTTTATTGTCTCAGCCTGTTGAAGCCCGCCATTCTGCTCTGCATGATATACCGTAAGTAAAAAGTTAAGTTAATCGAAGAAATGTTTGACCATATTTTCGAGAGAAATATGATAAAAGGAAATAAAAGTAACGTCTTAAATTAAAAAAAATTTTTTAACTTTAAATTATTATATACTAATATTGTTGACACTCTAAAGCATTTGATATTGTTTCACCTCAGTAATAAATATTGCTTTAATATTTTTTTTACTAATTTTTATATCAATGTCATTTTGTGCTTAATACTCAGAAGGATTCAATGATTAGACATTTAACTCCCTCATTGAAGAACTAGCTATTTTTTTAATAACTTCATAAATTTGCATAATATTGCGAATGAAGAAATAAGTAAGTTTTCAGTTCTCATCGTTATATTTTATTTTATATTATATAACCGTCTTTGAACAGAAGACCCAATTTTTGGGTTTACGACTACTAATGTTCAACTGTGTAGCCTTGCAATTTTGAGCCCAATCCAGAAGACAAGTGAACTCCTGTATTAAGTATTGGGAGAAATGTTGCTTTCGTGGAGGACATTTTTGATAGAACTAACCCTCATTTGCGTTACACGGAGAGGAAACCAACGAGAACCTTCCGTGGTTAGCCTGACGGCAAAAGAACTCAAACCCATGATCCGTTTACCACTGAGGATATTTCACATCAGCACTGTGGTCGGTGAAAGCCGGATGCGGAATTCGTATTGACCAGCCATTGCAGGGATTCGAACCCGATTCTCCTCATTGGAAGGGGAATGCTCTATCCCCTGAGCCATCGTGGCTCTTATCGATATGTTTAAAAAAACATTTAAAAACTTGGTAATAGATATGAAAATCACAAATGAACTTTCATGTAATGACATTTCAAATGCATTAAACTAATGTCAGTCTATTTTTCATTCTTTGAATTTCAGTTGAAAGGAAATTTTTCTACGCAAAATTCAAGATAAATAAAATTGAAATTTGTTATTTTGAGTAAAATTTCATAAGTTTGTACTAAAAAGCTTTCGGAAACAAAACAGCTGAGATAATGTAAGCAGTTATATACAGAGGAGTCAATAAAATTGAAACAATAAAAATAATAGCAGTGTAAAATTAAAATTCTAAAAGTGGCCCCCGTAGCTGCACCACGACCATCCGGAACAATTGAGATTGAGGACATCCAGGAAGAATTCGGTGAAAAGAATATCCAGTCGTGTGAAATTTACTGAGCTCTAATCTTAAAATTTCAATCAATACCATCAATCTGTACAAAGACTGAACCATCTGCAAAAGTAAAATCATAATTAAATTGAAAAAACGAGGAGAGGACATTTTTGCACTGAAGATTGTCTGTCGTCCTATCTTCGTATTCTTACTTTTTACACAGTGTAGTGGTAAATTTTTCTGTGGAGGGTAATGCTAAAAATGTAAACATTTTATGTAAAATTTTTTTGTGGAAACAAAATGCAGAAGAATTATAAAATTTTTTGTTTTAAACTGTATTCGGTTTAAAGTTCTTTACAGTGTAACTACTTTAAATTCAAGTGTTCACTTAGATACTGAGCTAAATTAAAAGCTCACTAATTTTTATCTACATATAAGCATGCAAAGATAGTGTTGTTTACTTACAAATTGTACTTATTTTTCGTCTAAATAATTGTTATAGAGAAATGCTGTTTATAAGATTATCAGGGATTGCCTTCTATAAAAATATAAAAAATAAAGAAAGAAAATTAAAAACGGTAGCTGATCTATTTTAATAGGAAATTTCGACCACTGAGACTTTTGCATCTTGAATTACTTACGAGATATTACAGCTACTGAGCAAGTGAACTTGTATCCAAAAATATAAAAACAATTATTTCACTCTTCGTTTTATCTTCTGCAAACAAAAAATGTCTATCCTTTGCCATATTTTAGGAAGTTAAATTTTAATCTTAGTTGTAGCATTTCTTAAGAAAAAACCTAAATAATACTAACGAAAAATAAATGCACCAACTTAAATTTAATATATTGAATCGTTTTGTAATAGTATTTTTCTTGTTGTTGCTGTTACTATGTAAAATAATGGATTCAATATAAAAGAATGTGTGAAATATACTCTCAATCTTAGAGAACTTTGAATGTAATTAATAAGCAGCTGAATAATTAATTTTTAACACACACTATACTTTGATAAGATTAGCTTGTTTTTATAATTACCTAAACGTAAACTTAGAAGTTTAAACGAACGAAAATAAATAAATGGAAGAATAAATAAAACTTTTTACAAGCAACTTGAAATAAGAAATAGCTTTCTTAGATGAAGTATACAAAAATAATACGCTATAATTTTTTTTAAAAATTCAATCTGAAATAAAACAACAAAAAGCACCAGAAAATTTTGTACAGGATGTTGCAAATTAAGTCTACAACATGGACTAAATTAAAAAGTGATTAAATATACAAAAAATTCAAATTATTAGATGTATATACGAGTATTTTTATAGTTATTGATAGTTAAATATGAACAAATCAACAATGTTAAAAAATTATAAATACTTTCAAAAAATTTGCAGCAAGTAATAGAATATCACTTCTCACTACATGGCCTACCGTAAACAACAGCCTCAACCATTTAAAGAGACAGAGGAATATTGTAAAATAAATATTGTAATAACGATATTTAATTTTGAATCTTTGGCTTTTTAAGCAAATTTGATCTATTTTGGCTCCTTAAACCTTTTTTTCTAGAATTTTATCACTAAATTAGCTTTTTATGAAATAAATTAACTTTTTATGAAATCTCGTCACCTGAATATCTAAAATGCCTTCCAGATTCTTCGGTGTTCACAATGTCGAACAAAATTAATCTAATATCGAGCAACATTTCTGTACTACTTGGGAAATATGTCGCCCTGGTGTCACAAACTTCATTTTGACGTGACCAAGTTGAGATGTCAATAAGTCACATTTTCTTCACCAGGTGACGTCACTGCGACACTAGGTGACGCCACTTCGACGACGTCCGAGTTTGGGTAACGTCAAAATGTGACGTCACCAAAGACCCGACATAGTAACCTTTTTTGATCTACACATTAACATCCCGAATTTTACAAACTTTTTCTATGATTTGAAATAAATTCAAGTAAGAGCTTCTATTTTTGGTAATTTTTCTGTTAAATTCACTGTATTAAACATTAATTTAGACTGAGCTGATGATTTTAGGGACATGGCTTACGGATAGTTATTTTTAAGGGATTATGTTTTGGGGGTGGCATTTCTGCAAGTGGAACAATGGTCTGATTTCAAAAAATATAAAACAACAGCTGTTGGAGTTTTATATTCTAGCATGATTTCCCACACTTCTAAGGTTTCAAAAAGAACAAAATACAGTAAATGTTTTAAAATGACTACCGAATTCTCCTGTTTAAAATGTAAACTTTGCAAGATTGAACTTACATAAATAGGAAAAAATATCCAATTTGTTAACTCTGTTTATGATGCATAGTTACACGCTAATTGCTTAGACCTTGTAAAAGGTATACCAAACAGGATGTTAGAATTAATATTCAAAAAGAAACGAACTATTTTTGAAGTCTTTTAAACATTAGATTTTGTGTCTTTATGCCAGATATTTCATGTCGTGTGTTTGACTTAATTGGATGTAATTTTATTTTATATTTTAAATACAATAAAATTTTATAATAGTTAATTTATTCTTGCTAATTTTTTATGTGGTTCAGAAAAATTAACTATTGTTTGAATTATTACTGGCATATTTGAAATTAATACTTGTCTTTATAATTATGAACTACAGTGTAAACATACGCATAGCCTTATACAACTCGAATAAATTATTAAAACGTTTTTTTTTTACTTTTCAGTGGCTTCTGTCAAAGTAACAATACAGCTCCTTTGAAATTTGAAGATATTGTTCCAAATAATTACGATAAACTTGTACCACCAACTACCAATGGTAAGTCTAAAATGTTATCATTAGTTTTAATAAGCAAGATCAGGTAATGAATTGTATAATTATAATGCTTAAGTTACAGAGTCATATTTTAAAGGAGATAACATATTTGTTTTAAAGCTGTTACGTCACAATATTTATGGCAATATATTTATTAGTTTGATAAACTGTTTGTGGCATGGTACATCATAAATATGGTCTGCGTACATCATAATTCAAAACATCTATGAAAAGATTTAATAAATAAAACGTGTTATTTAACATGAACTCTGTTTTTATTTGTTAATTTGATGATCGTAAAATGGAAATACTAAATTGTTGTGATGTTTGAAAATAAGTTTTGAAGTTGAGATCCCTAAAAATGATCAAAAAAGATATCTCATTTTTCTTTTCTAGATGATACATTCATCAATAAAACAAAATCTGTATGACTGTGTTTGTATAAAATGGACCCGCATTTTAATTTCAAGAAGATTATCAAAACTGCGTTTAGCAAAATAGTTCTTAATTTCTTATACTACTGATTCCAGAGGTAGAGCGTTAAAATTTTTGAAAAATAATTAAAATTGTGCTTTGTTTTGATAAAATAAGTATGCTTGGCATTTTTATTTTAGAAGGATTAAAATGGTTATTGTAAGAGTTATGATAATGGAGGTTAAAATGGCGGTTAAACTTATAATCAAGATTGAGCTTTAACTTTTAATTGATAATGAGGTTTTATTTCAATTATACATCATACATACATACAAGAAATACTGTAAAAAATTTTAATGCCAAAAATGAGGGCAACAAAATGATGTAGAGGTAAAGACATAGAAAAAGTAATACAAATATTTATAATTAGAGTAAAACAAGGTGCACATAAGAGTTAATATAAAACAATTTAGGATGTTTGTGATCAAAAATCAAAGAAACGTGTAGTAAAGAGATAATATCAACGCGGATAAAAAGAACCAAAGCGGAAAGAAAATATACACTACAAAATTATTTAATACAGTTTACAGAGACTTAAAAACACCTTATAGCATAACTAAGGGCATACATACACATTTAAACAACGAACTATTGCTTAAATAAATATATAGAAGCTTTGAAAAACATTGAAAAACAAAAAAATCTACAGATGATATCTAACGCGTTCCTACAGTGGTGTTTCGAAAAATGTAGGTATTTAACAAATGATGTGAAAACGCATGAGATTGGTTTAAACTTTTCTTATTGTAAAAGTTTTAAAGGACAGTGGTTTACTGTCCTCAGTAATTGCCTCAAATTATAACCACTACTAACTAACAGTATGCGGATGGCGCTTCTAGTTGGTTGTGCGTCTAGTTAGGTCCCTCTTCTCATTGTCGTATGAAGGGTGCAATTTATAAAAATCAAGAACTATCTTGGAAATAAGCTTCTACCTGGTCAAGAATGATGTATTAAAATACATTATGCCAAGTTATGCCGAGATTAAATTTGAGATATTGCATTCAGGATTAGATTTACAACTAAAATATAATGTATTTACTGATAGTATTGCATTTATCATTAAATTTTTATTATTATTATGAGTAATTGGATTTTATAAATGTACCGAAATGTAAATTTTGGAATGAAAGAATGGATGAACTTATTATTTGTGAACGTTGTGTTACTTAGATAGAAAAAAAGATAAAGGTTTCAAATTAGTGCTGGAAAATTAGAAACCTGAATACCAATCAAATTAGTTGAATAGTATTAAGTTACAATATAAAAAATTATAACATATGATTTCGTAACAATTGATTCTTTCCTGGAATTCAGTGGACATTTTAATTGATTATAGATCGGAATCTGAGAAACGTTTATGAAAAAGTCCAGAACCGGATTCGAACTTTTCAACAATCGACTCCACAGCTCTAATCAACACCTCAAAATCAAGCACAAAACTAAAGGACATGTACTGACACCATTAATAAAAATTTATTTATAGCCCTTGCCGATAGCTTTACAATATTAGATAAAGTATAACGCTTTTTTAGAAGTTCATCTAATGAAAATAAAAATGAAATGAAATCAGTATAATTTGCCATGATATAGCTGCTCAAGCCCATCTCATAATAGCCACAATCAAGTAATTATCTCTTTTGATGGACCAGGAAAAACTTATTACCACAATACAGTATAGTACCTACAATATTGCCATAATACTAGTAGAGCTAATTACCAAAATTAATTAACCATTATCGGAGACAATAATACATGGTGATTTGCTTATGGTTCCCCTTAATTAATTCAAGTGTAAAATATTTTTATACAATATAATTAATAAATACATTCTTAAAGGTGTGGTTTTTTAAAAGTGATTTTATTGATGAAGGTTGTTTTTAAAAGTGCCATTTTTTATTAAGAAATTCTAAAAGGCATATGCTTTGAAATTACTATATTATACCGTTCATTAAAAATGTATTGATTTAAATCAATAGTGATCTTTTTAAAAAAAAATCGATAATTTAAACAGGCTGATAATAAAAATTATTGGTTGACAAAAATAATTAATCCAAATATAAATAATTTCATACAATAGAAATTATAATTATATTTTTAGGTAACTATTCTTTTAATCTGATTTTATTGATAATGAGTTTTTTTTCTTCTAAAAAATAATGAAAGTGATGCGCATGTAAATTATTATACTTCAAAACAGACTAAAAGTGAATAAGAGTGGCATGAAACTTTTAAATTGCTATTTTCCATTAAATACATATGAAATAATTTTCTCGCAAAAACATGTTTCAATTACACCCATTTATTTTTTGCTAATTCAAATACAGTGTTTTTAAATCTTATTAAATATGTAATTAAAAATGTAACATGTGTCTTATTAAATATGTAAATTAAATATGTATCATGACTTGCTCGATCCAGAATGACATAATTTTTTTTTCAGTAATGTTTTCTGATTTTTAACAATCATTAGCAAGTTAAGCTTGAAAAATAGAACTATGATTTTTTTTAAAACTCAGTAAGACATAATAATTTTATTCATTTTAGTAAGAAATATGAACTATTTTAGTTACATCATTTAAGTTAGTAATCAGAAACTTTGGATGGTAAATTTAAAAAGTTCCGATTTAAATTTAGAAAAATTCCGATTTAAATTAAATATATGATTTTGTGATTTTTATTTTTAAAAATCACTATTTTTGCCAACCGTGGCTACTGGTCAGTGTTCCCGTTATACTCTTTTCACTCGATGAACGGTAAAAGTTCAAACATTTCATGTGCATAATTTTGTTTTAAATATTATGGAGAAGTTTTGTTAGATTTAGTTACTATGGATGGGTTAAAATTGCTTTAAAATTCACTAAAATGTAACCACTTTGAAGTAAGGTTTTTCAATTTAATTAAAATTTGGTATTTCGTGCTTGGTAGCAGAGAAAATATTGCACCCAGAACTTTTACTTTTTAACCCACTTAAGGTGACAAGGGGGCACAAATTTAAGAAGAAAACTTTTTAACCAATATTCGTGAAAAAATCACATCGGTCTAATCAAAATTTTGACCAATTTTCAAACACTTTGAAAGACCCTTGTCACCTTAAAATGAACAAAGTAATTTTTTTTGCAGTTTAAATATAGTTTGTATTTTAAAACTACAGAAGTAAAAAAAAATTACAACTCGTAAAAATTTACTTTTAAGTGAAAATTGACCCAAAAACTTTACACTTGCTTCTGGCGAACAATATTGTCGAGACCACAATTTTATCAGAAAATGCATACTGTATGATTAAATTTGGAAGGATGGTCACGAGGGTGCACCAACTCTTCTCAAAGGGGGATAAGATGCTGGGTTTTAGAAAACCATTAGCGCAATCCGTCATCACCATCCTTTAAATTGTATATGAAAGTGTTAATTTGAAAAGAAAAATTTTTTTTGATCAATATTAAATTCGGAAAGAGTTTTTACGGTGTAGGATAGTGCTTGAAACCAAACATTTTGACTCCTTTTGAAAGATTTTATGACAAAACGTAAAACTAATGAGTTTTTTAAAAATTTTTTTGATCGATTTTGAAGACAAAGATGTGTTCATAGGACATCCATAAAAAAATTCTTCTGCAATGAATTGTACAAAATATCTGATTTGTGGACAGAAATTTTCGTGACACGTTGGTGGTACGTGGTCATTTTCTGATGAGTAGTATTTTCATGTTTATTTGGTTGGGAAATTAACATTAAGGTTATAGTGCGTTATAGACGTCCGCTGTATAATACCGATCCGTATTTGATTCTAATAATTGTGCGAATGATTACTTTATATCAAGTTAATACCGATTCGAGTGTTCTTACACACTTGAAAGGGTGGATTAACACAAACATTTGATAAAACCATACACCAATCTGCAGGTTGTTGGTGAAAAAGCTTGTGCTTTTCAGAGCTCCGTAAAATTGGCGAATAATTCTAGTATATTTAACTAACTTCTGGCGTAAAATGATGGTAGGGCTTATTTTAAACGTAAAACAAATACTTTTGAACCATTATTATAAGTGTAAAGGTGGATGATTGTGCAATTTTAAGATTTTGACATTATGGCGGACAAGATGGTGATTTTGTTCACATGAAATTTACAAATGAATATCCTCTAGTCAGATTGAATTGGTCATACCTATTAATTAAGTTTCAATTTTCTTTACTAATTTATTTAAAAAAAAGTCGATTATTTGCAGAGTCATTTCAATCCTCTTCTCAGATTATTTTGACACTCATATTTTTAGTTGCATAATAAAGATATTCACGTTCTCATAAGATTTGCATAAACTTATTAATTGTATAAAATAATATTTAACTTCTATTCACTTCTGTTTTTTTTTTTTCGAATTCATATTTATATTCTGTCTGTGCTGTGTGTATGACAACAAACTAATTTTATTTAAAAAAATAGTATATATATATGTATCCTAAATTTATGATTTTTCCTTTATATAGTATCGTAAAAACTCTACTGACTCACATCTTATTGTCTCACATCTTATTGTAA